CTCACCCAAACTGAGCAGCAGGGAGTCATTCTAAGAAAGTATCTAGTGACACGATCCAAAGGGACTTTGATTAATCCCAATCATCTTCCTTTTGCAGAAGATCTAGCATGAATTTGAACTGGCCAGATTCCTATGTGCATTCAGATCAATGGCCCCAAGGAAATGAGATTATTGTAATGTATTGTTGCAGTCTTCTCCAAGCTTGATGCTGAGAGAAAAAATGTCTACTACTATCCAGTTACTGCCTTTAGACAACTCCATGTGGCTAAGAAATGTGGGGCAAAAGGAGAGTGAATAATTTGAGCTATCTTTCCTCCATTATTTTTTGGCCCCAATCAAAAAAAAAAAAGGAGAAGAAAGAACAGCAAATAAAGGGAAAAGAGACTAAAAGAAAAAGGATTGTAGGGAGAACGGTACAAAATGGAGCAAAACGTATTACAGAAACCAGAAGGAGAGGGGGAACAGCAATAACTGTTTAAGTGGAGGAGCTGTCTGATTTCTGGAGATCGTACTGTCACTGTTGCTGGAGTGGTTCCCCAAGTTATTCATAGGAATTTTGGCTGAAAAACCAGTCATACCTGTTTGGTGGATGAAGGATAAAGTATTTTTCCAGTACCAGTTCTGTGATCTCCACACCAGGACTGTGAAGGCAGACAAAAAGGTAGGCTTCTAGAGCTGCAGGGATTTCACTCAGTGGATCAGCACCTTTGCTTCTTCTTTTCTCCCTGTTTCTCCTATTTCACTTCCTCGTGTATTGCTAGAGAATCTGGCACGCCTGGTTGTGGAGAACTGTAAGAACTATGAACTGCCTCTGTTCACACCTAGAGGCAACCATTGGTGACATAAAATGAAAATTCCTACTGCTGTAGTTACTGCAGTCATGGCAACACCAAGTGCACTCAGAGAGGACTGAAAACACATTTTTGGGTGGGTAACAAAACCTTCCCTCCTCCAAAATGTGACCAGCTTTCTCAATGATTACTGTGAATGGGACTGGGCTGGCATTGTGATAATTTCCATAGAGATTATTCTTCAGAATACACCTCTGACTTCTTAACTAATCAATTTTACGTGTGTGTGTGTGTGTGTGTGTGTGTGTGTTGGGGGATGGATCTCCAAGCCTTCTGCTGTAGAAGTGGAGCCCTTTCAGTTAGTTTAATTTCACTTTGGTTCTTGTCGTTAAAGGCTAATTAAGCAGGGAAAGGGACTCAAACCTTACTTTTTTCCAGTGAAAGTGAAGATTCTCTTTTAAAAATAGAAGTATTTGTTCTGTTAAAAAGTGGCTCAGAAAGGACTTATCTCCAAATCCACCAAGGACAAAATATGGAACACAACAAATGACAAAGACTCTAAGTGAAGGGCACCAAAAAAAAAATACAGGAAATTAAAGGCTATGGGCTTTATTGTCTTAGTATAAATGACTCTTTTTGTAATCTTGGGTTCATAATTCATTATTTCTGATGTAAAATTTACAACCATAAAAGTGAACAGATTCCAAGCCTGTCTAGCACTCAGGTGACTTTGGGATTGACATGAGTGACATTCTGTGGAGGGGCACATTTGAATCGGTAGTGCACAGTTTTTGCATGTGGCCCCAGCCACATAACATGAATTGGTTACAAATTCAACATGGAAGGGGAAGTCTGTATCAACACCGGCCTTACCTGCATTGGCTAAGGAAGGTCCTTAAGGCTGCCAGCAAAGATTAGCCAAAGAATTACCATACTTGATGCAGCCTTTATCAGTTTACCATTGTGGTCACTAGCAAGTCCTTATTAAAAGAACTGCCCATGAGGAGCTAGTTTACCTCCTGTACCCTTTCCATGTCAACTCCAGCCCCTAGCGATCCATGAATCATAACATGATAACTATAAAAAGTCTTTAAAAAAAGGCAAAAGGAGTTTCACCTTTTCTTTATTTGGGAGCCTCAAAGAGGCAGAATTCTTGCAAAAGTAACCATAGGTCCTAGACTCAGGGCTAAGTGAATAAAGCAGTTAGAAAAGGGAATTGAGGGGAGGAAGCACATATAACAGAATGGAGAAGTAGGCCCATCTGCCTGTGGTACAGGGTACCCCTGGGTAGCTCCAGACAAGGAACTTAACACCAGATACTTAACTCCCCACATTCAAGTAAATTACACCAGGATAGAGTGGTATACACTAGAGTAACGGCTAATTATACAGGTGTAACTGTCTCATGTGCCCAGCCTGAAGTTTGAGAGTCATGGGAACGTTTGGATTACCCTGCGGCAGTGGTGCTCAAACTTTTTGCTGCATGGACCGGGTGGCCAATGCCCAGTCAGTTCATGTGCTGGATCTGGCTGGTGGACCCAATCCAATGCACAGGAAGGGTAGAGGGGGACACAGTGGGGCCAAATCAGGTCATGCAGTAGTGAGATCCAGCATTTGGGGAGTGGGTGGAAGTTGGCCCAGCCCTCATCAGGAGGGAAGGAGGCATGGCCTGGCCTCAATCCAGCAGCATGGGGTTTGGGATTCTGGCAGCGGGGGCAGGGTAGCAGCATTAATTGCCACTGCTCCTCCACTGCCATGGTTCCCAACCTGTGGGGAGTCCTGTGAGCCAGATGCGAAGGCTCCATGGGCTGCATTTGGGAGAAAGGCTGAACACCCCTGTCCTTTGGCATTGAAGGGACCACCCCTCAAGGGAGACATTACTGCATGTACTGAGCTAGCACATTACCTGAGACTGAACTTTCCTGGGAAAGTCAAAGCTCCATCCAAGTTCAAGTTCCATTTTGGAATGAACCATAGACCTAGGCACAGAGAAAATACGTCTTTGGTTCCAGTTCTTCACCCTATACGTCTTCAGCTTTTGGTACGGACGTTCCAGAGCTCAATCCCCACCAACAGCAAGACCTGTTTCCCCTTTGTGTGCAGCCATGCTTTATTCTGCAAAGCCATGCCATTAGAACGTGAGACTAGGAGCCTGTTTTGCAGAAGTGTATTGCTCCTTGCCTCCAGGTAAAGGCAGGAAAAGCCACACTCCTGAAAGCCCTTGAGGGACTGGAGAGCTGGTCTCTTGTTTCAGCATTGTCTTCTCATTCCTTGTGTGGCCTTAGATAGGTAATGAAACCTCTTTATATATTAAGTTGGTGGTAGTAGCCATACTCACAGTATTTGGCTGGAGCAATTCCTATCTATCTATCTATCTATCTATCTATGGATAGACAGATGTTTTCTAGATAGGAATTGCTCCAACCACACATTCCAGCCAAGTACTAAAAGTATGGGATAGATAGATAGATAGATAGATAGATAGATCAGAGAAATGCAAAATCATCCCAGTAATGATGATGATGATGGGCAGTGGTGGCGAGACTCGGGCTTTTCCCTGCTTGCCACTGGAGATGCCCCATGGTTTCCTAGGGGCTCTTGATCTCCTGTAGAAACCAGGGCCACTGAGCCAAATTCACCCCCCCAGTGAAGTCAAGAGGGATGAAGCGGGTCTGGAAAACTAGGGCAAGCTGCCTGGACTGTGCTGCCTTCTTCTCAGGTGCGAGGGCTGGTGGGTCATGTCCTTCCTCTCTCTCTAGAGTCACAGCGGCTGCCAAAGTGGGGGTATTTTTTTTTTCCCCCGGGGGAAAGAAGTGCAAAAGAAGACGACAGAGGACCAGGCAAGTTGCAGCCGATCTCCTCCCGCGCCCCCCGGGGCTGCCCCCTCTCGTGCCCCGCCGCGGACGAGCCCCGCGGTCGCAGCAGGCGCGGATGACGTCACGCGCGGCCCCTTCTTTTGTGCGCTCGTGATGTCACCGGGCGCGGAGGTGCGGACAATGGAGCCCGGGGCCCGGGCAGCGGCGGCGGGGGGGCCCCGGGGCTGGTGGTCCTGGCCGGA